TTGTTGTTAAAATTGTACGCGTGGGATATTTAGGCAGGGGTCTGAAAGGAGGCCAGCGCGGCGGGAACCGCACGGGCACATCGGCCGCCATCTATGGCCTCGAGGCGGCTGATGTGGGCGTGGCCTACTCGGGCGAGGGACGAGACGAAAGCAGGGGAGAGGAGATCGGGGCTCTTGGTGTCTGACTGCCGTCCGGTACGGACATCGAGCCCCCGACTGCTCTCTGCTGCTGGCTCACCTGGCTCGAGGTAGGTTCCTGTCACGCAGGAATTGATGCTGGGCTCAAAGCACATCCCATAGTTAGGATAGGAGCACCGGGGTGGAGGTTCGTAGGTAGTTTCGCGCGTCGGTAACCGTTAGGGTAGTGATAGGGTAGAAACTTGCGGAAACGGAAATAATCGGTCGTCTCGGATCCAATTCAATGCGCAGTCCTTTGTGATGTTCGGTTTTACAATAAATGGGGTTTGAATTGACCAGATGCATTTGGAGATGGGTTGAGTCGGAGGAGAACGGAGGTTGAGCGGAGTCAGATTCATTCGGTGCCCAGTTAGTCATTGTGGCTCAGGAGCTTAGCTCCAAACCCAGGGTTCGCTACAAACCGCGTGTGCCCCAAAATGGCGGAGTTATTCACCTGAACCACGATGCATAGTTTAGTACATTTAGTTCAGAGGACAGTGGCCCGGGTGGCAGACGGGTAAAAGGCTGGGAGACGTCCCGGCCGACCACTGATCCTGTAGAGTAGAGTAGAGATCCGGAGGGGAGGTAACGAAGGGCCTACAGGACCGGCCTAAGCCCCCTCACATAATGGTGCTAATCGGCCGGGAACGTTCTTTCAAGTGAAATTCGGCTGAACAACGTTTTTCTCCCGGTAGGTGTCAGGCACGCCATTAGGTACGTAAGCCTTAAACTGCATTATCTAGTGAAACGCCCTGCCCGTAAAGTCGCCGGAATCGCTTGTTAGTACGTGGTTTTGTAAATCTTAAACTGTTTAAACAAACGGCTAACAGTAAGTCTAAAAAAACGTTTTTCATTCTTGCTGGTATGAGGATACGCCGCTAACGTAAGACTTAAACTGCATTTGGCGAAACGGCCTGCTGTAAATCCAGTGCGCTTGCTCAGTACGTGATTTTGTAAATCTTAAACTGTGTAAATCAGACGGCTGCAGCTGTTAGACGCCCCCACCGAATTGATCTTGAAAGAACGGTCGATTGAGCCATTCTAAATTTATTCAATTTACTCCGCTCAATATCCGAACTTCTGGGAACAAACGAGCCAAGCCAGCAGCCAAAATTGATAGGCAAAAGTTTGCGATGACTGCAATAAAAATAGCAACACTAAGAAAACCGAAATGCAGCTTGCGAGTTGCAAATATGCTGTGTGAATGAGCAAATACGATATAGTTGACAATAGCCGTTTTTACGACGGCCATCGGGTACACATTTGGTTCACAATTTGTCATAATTGATGGTCAAATTAGATTAAAGGTGTTTCTTCGTAGCTATTAACTAAGGTAGCGCTGATTATTTATATGCCTTCTTTGTCAAACTATCAGACCATCAACTAAAAACACCAATGAATTCAAAAATATTAAAATATTTGCTGTAAAGGAGATGTGGTACGGATTTGATCAAATTAGATCTTTTCGCCAAATTGCCCGTCGTGAAAACGGCTAATATAGTTGAGAGTGAAGTGTGGGTGTGCGGGCTGTCTCTGAAACTGAGGCTGTCTGGAATTGAGGATGTGTAAATTGCATGTGAGAGAAAAAAAGGGTGTGGCATGTGAGAGTTAAAATGTGGAGAATGCAACTGTGTGGGAGTAAGAGTGTAGAATGAGAGGTGAGATCGGATCAAAAATGAGAATTAGTCAGTCTGTTTGCTTGTGTGGTGATTGCACTTGGATGAGTGAAAGGTGCAGATGTACGTGCGTGAACTGAGTGAAAGAGGAGAATGCTTCTGTGACACGGTGAGGTGACTGTCTGAGAATTGCGAGTATGCCGAAAGAATGGACGAATAATCTGACATACGCACTGCAGTGAAACGGGCGACACATTTCCTACTTGACGTTTACAAAAGTGTCCTTAATTGATCAAAGTCTGTTCAAAGTTGAAACCTTGTTATGTCTTGAAATACCCACGAAGTTAAGGATTAATTGCACAAAATATAGAGCTTCTACATTCATTTCTAGAGAGATGATCTTCCTTATAATGGCCGCGTAGTTTACCGTGATTTACAACGATTTTCTTTCCACACGATTTAGATATTGTTGGTTGTCAAAGATTAAAATTAAAATTAAAATTCATAAAGGTTAGATCCCTCGTATGCTTGGGAAACATTAAAAATTTGATCTACCCGCGGCCGGAGACAGAAAAGTTTTGCTCCTGGCACATGCCTTAATTGAATTTTACTATGTAAATTCGCGTCTGGAGAAAAACGGTATAATCAAATGCTGTGTCGATTCTTCTTATCACAAAGAGCCGCGTCAGCCAGTTAACAGAGATCTGCGACCACAAAAACACCCGAGACAGACGGGGTAAGAAGTGGTGACCTCCACATCTGTACTTTCACTCGCCACTTTTTGTACGGCAAGCGGGCCGCTCTCGATGTCGTTTTGCGGCTGGTAGGACGTTTTTTATCGAATCGGCCATGACATCAAGGTTTGCGTCTAGACAGTGAGGATCAAACAAAAGTCACTGTTACTGCCTTAACTGAGGCACCATCCTTCGGCCATATTGAGACACAGTCTGTATGAAACCCATTTAAATAATCAGCTTTAATCGATGCTTCCTTTTCAGTAATCCGTAACAATGCTGTGTAAATCCATTGTCAGCGTGATGTCGGGTGATGTAAAGAATATCCATAGCTGAGAAAAACTCTTAACGTGGTCGATTCAAATCTAGCACATAGTGAAGTCGAGCAACACCAAATTCAGCATTCCAGTTTGATCCGGTTGGCCGATTGTCAGGCGACGTGCGCACCAAGGGGCCGCAGCCGGCCGGTGAACAAAGATCCACGACAAAAAACCGCCCCAGACAGACGGGAAGTGATGTTGTGACCTTCCAGCCGCTGGTGGCACGGGCCGCCCTCAACGCTTTTTTTGCGACCAGTAAAATGTTTAGGCGGGTCGACCTTGGCTTTAGGATACGCATCACGGCAGTGAGGATCAGATCCAACACGACTCGGTCTGACCCTGGACGTCACCTCCAGACCCGGACTCTCACGGCAAGGACGAGACAGGCAAAAAGGCTAAACCAAAGTAATACACAAACAGAAACGGTCACCACCCACGGTCGTCGTTCTCACCAGACGTGTGCGATTACCGAGATGAATCAGGCGATTGAAGAAGCTCACATTGGTATTAGCCGGCTAAATTACGTCAAAACTAGAAAGCGCAGGCCAGAAGCGTACGGAACAGTGTTGGAACTATTGGCAAAACACATTTGTAATTTAAGATAGTATTTATATGAAATGTATTGAAGAAGTTCAAATTTGTTGGAAAGGCTCTCATAGATCAATAATGTCATGCTTGTAGAGGTCTAGTTAGAGTTACACAAGCTAGTGGCGGATCAAATATCATTAATTAACAATAAATGCTTCGTTATCTTTATGACGCTGAATTAGACTTTGTAATGCGGTGATCAATTAGGAATTAGGCATTCGGCATAACTGACATGTGCGAGAGGAACCGATTGTGGGTGTACTGGCGAGTCGTATGTACCTACTCTTATTATGCCGCGTCATCATTTAACGTGGCGTCCAACCCGTTTAAATCGCTCATCTGTGTAGCTCGCTTACTGGAGGGCGCTGTCTCGACCCAAGGTCACCATAGCCACTGAGATGACAAGCACAGTGGGCCAAGGGCGGTGCACTCTGAACCCGAGCACGTTTGTGGCTGGCTTTATTTGGAATATTGGGAGGAGGAGTCAGTGCACGACTATCCATTCGCGTTATAACTATATGCAAATAGGAATAACATACGAATACTTCGCAGTCCTTTGTGATGTTCGGTTTTACAATAAATGGGGTTTGAATTGACCAGATGCATTTGGAGATGGGTTGAGTCGGAGGAGAACGGAGGTTGAGCGGAGTCAGATTCATTCGGTGCCCAGTTAGTCATTGTGGCTCAGGAGCTTAGCTCCAAACCCAGGGTTCGCTACAAACCGCGTGTGCCCCAAAATGGCGGAGTTATTCACCTGAACCACGATGCATAGTTTAGTACATTTAGTTCAGAGGACAGTGGCCCGGGTGGCAGACGGGTAAAAGGCTGGGAGACGTCCCGGCCGACCACTGATCCTGTAGAGTAGAGTAGAGATCCGGAGGGGAGGTAACGAAGGGCCTACAGGACCGGCCTAAGCCCCCCTCACAGTTATATGGCTTTGTTGGGAAAACAAGCATACACTACTTAGAGCACATCATGGGTGCCGGGTATAGCACGAAATGAGCAGCACGGCATCGAACATTTCAAAACGACTGATCAGAACCAATCCAAGTAGTAAGTACACTTTACACTGAAATTTACTCACTTATGCCTCGGTCTCTTATTGATACCGATAGCAGATACACCAACATGCGTATAACAACGGTATCAATTTAACTGTAGTCCCCCTAATCCTGTTCAAACAACGCATGCCACTGGTGTCCTAGTCAAGGCACCAGTCTCCGATAAAAGGCTGACTCAGCTGCCCACGTGAAGGTCAATGAACTCCACACGAGATGCCGACTGATGAGCGGTGACTACACGGCCTCCTGTTAGGGATTACGGCTAATGCCCGGGTTATCGATACAGATAAACGGCTTGGTTGCATCCTCAAAGCTGATAGTCTGGTTCAGGAAGGCTTTATTGTTCAATGAAGCGATTAAATATATCGTAGATTCACATGACGAGTGAAGTCAAGCAGCCTATCAAGAATTAAGTTGCATGTGCTTTCTTTGAATTCTCATTTCTCATTCTCCTGGTAAAAAGAGATGATTGGTAAGGGACCATGACAGATTAAAACGTAGATATGACGCATGATTCATTCTGTATTTCATCGCATCCCCTGCCGTTTTCACCCACGACCAAAGACGAACATCCTGCCACCATTCCGTTAGAAAAGTCTCTAACGTTACCGGGGCTGTCACCAACCGACACCAAAGACTGGGCGGCCTCCCGGCCAGAGCGGAGGTCCATCCCGGTACCAGGCACTTCCAAATCACATCCAACGTGTCACCGCTAACACTTTGAGTTACATGGCTCCTCCTAGGTTCAGTAGCCTGCAAGGTTGCATTCAAAAATAAAATCACTAGGCCACACGCCACATAAACGAAGCTCAGGATTGTATCAAATACACTAATTATGTCAACATCATACACTTCATGAAGGCCGAGCACATTGACCAGGAACAGTAACACTTGAAAAAGTCTCAATCACTGCTCTCGACTATCACATCTGCGGGCGTACCTGGCAGAAACAGAGTACTGACGAGTTCACCTGACCGAGTACCGAACTCTGATATCACTGTTAGGAGCGTGTCCACTCCCTCGTCTTCTCCCGAGACCGAACCAAACCAAATGGAGTCCAACCACCCGCCGACACCGAAGGACGGGACCCTCCACAGCACGCGCACCGTTCCCATCACAGCCTTCAGGTACGATGAAAGCAACGCTGAACGAAACAGGCCAGACTGCCGCGTCCGTCTCACGTCAGTGTTTGATTTGTTCAGCGCGGTTGGCCGCTGGCGGTGCCACCTATCGGCGAGTATGCGAACCTGAGTGTTATGTTGCCCTCAGAAGCAGAAAGCGCTCCAGCAGCTGAGGATGTTTTGTAGTCCGCTGGTGTCCTTGACCACCAGTTGTCGGGCATATGCGTCCTTAATAAGCTCGTTCCAGTCGGCATTCTTGGACTGAAATAAAACAGTGGCACAAGGTGACATAAAATGCCATTGCAGTGACTGGCTCTACAAGTGCAAGCACACGGAAAGGTGGTAAAAGGTGCAAGCTATAATGCGACGATCTGATAGGCAGAAAATCAGACAGGTTATAAAAGCAATCAACACGACGAGTACAAAGTCGCACCATGCTCAATATGTCAGCAAACGTAAACATATCAAGCATCTACAATCAAATGCATTGCAATAGCGATATAATTTGTCAGGTGTTCAAGCGTTGAAAAAAAAACACTTCATGACAACATCAGCATGTAACAAAGTGGGAAGACACACAGATAGACAGACATACAAACGGATGACAGACAAGCAGACATACACACAGACATGAAAACAGAGGATCTACAGACAGAGTCGCGTTCGACAGACATACAGCCTCTGCGCCCGTCCGGGCCGACACTCACCAGCGTTCCGAGGTCGCCGCAGATGTAGAGGCAGTTCTTGGCGCGGGTGAGGGCCACGTTCAGTCGACGCAGGTCACCGAGGAAGCCCAGGTCGCCGACGAAGTTGGAGCGCACGAAGGAGAGGACCACCACGTCCCTCTCCTGGCCCTGGAATCCGTCCACTGTGCCCACCTGCACGGCGAGCGTCTTGGCCGGGCTGCCGGACAGAGGCGACACGCGAGGTCAGCCCGCGGGGCGCGGACAGCCGGCAATGGCGGATATTGAGACTTTGGAGGGTAACGATGCCGATGGCTTGGCTTAGAGGATGGTTGCGACTGATCAGCACTCCTCAGCGCCTTCAGATGTATATCTTGTTATGTCTTTTTATGCGGATATTCTTACATTAACGCCTATCTTTTTGGGGACGGCGCAGGCAGATTCTTCCTTCGCTCTTATATGGAATCGTCACCTTGATGAGGAAAAACAATGAAATTATTTTTCACAGAAGCAGCTGTTTATCTCTCTAAAAAATTATGGTGTGAATCATGTAAACAGTATCAAGTTTCCAGCATTTGCTGCACGTGCTAACAGTGTATTACTGTTATATCCCACCTTTGCCCGAGCTGTTCCTGTATGAGCTTCCTCTGGTGATTGTACGGGGTGATGACGGCCACGGACGGTCGCTGGGCGCCCGGGCACAGTCGAGCCACGGTCTCCACCACCCGCACCACCAGCGCCGCCTCGCGGTCATTGGAGAAACCACTGTGGACGAGCACAGAAGGCGGTTAGCGACGGCGAATAGATGGGGAGTGACTGGCACGGGACAGAAACCTTCACATTTACTGAGACAGGTAATATGTAATGTGCACTGTACTCATCACTTGCAGCTAGTCTGGAGCTTATACTTCCATGTCCTTCTAATGTTCAATAAACTTGTGACCAGCTCCGTTATCCTTGAAGCTTAGTTACTCCCAGGCCACCCAAATCTGAACTTCACCTCTCACCCGGGCTCCGTGCTGATCACTGAACCCTACTGGTGTCTGCTCTCAGTTCTGACCCCCCCCCCCTCTC